CTTTTCAGTTATGACTGACCCTAAGTATTTAAAATGCTTGGCTCTGTTGAAAACGTAGTTTCTTACATTGAAGGATGGGTACACACCCGCAGTTTCTCTTCTGCCAACGACCATATACTCCGTTGTAGTTTCGTTTATCTGTAGTCCTACTTTCGCTGCCATTCTTTGTAGACGGTTGAACAGTGATTTCAGTGCGTTTGGTGGTTCTTCCAATAATACTAAATCGTCCGCGTATGCCAATAGGCCTATTGATGAGTCCTGCAGCTTCACCCCTTCGTCGGGTCCAACGTTCATTGCTCTAATAACTTTCTCTAACACTATATTAAATAACACCGGTGACATTGAGTCGCCCTGTCTCAGACCTGACTTTACTAATATTGGTTCCGTTTGGCTACTTCCAACTTTGACTTTAATGAATGTTTCCATAATACTTGTCTCCACTAACTTTATCAATTTTTGTGGGAAGTTAAATTCCCTCATAATGTTAATTAAACTGTTTCGATGAATACTGTCATATGCTTTCCTGAAATCAATAAAAAGGATATGGATTTCTTTGTCAAATTCCCATGTCTTTTGGAATATCTGCCGAAGAACAAATATTTGATCCGTTGTTGATCTTCCGGGTCTAAAACCTCCCTGGTAGTCGCCGATAATTTCCTCCGATTTTTCTTTTAATTTTGATAAGACGCAGTTAGAGAATACTTTATAAGTCACATTTAAAAGAGCTATGCCTCGATAGTTATTACAATCATGCCTACTTCCTTTTTTATGGATCGGGCATATCGAAGCTGTTTTCCATTCTTCTGGTATTTTTTCAGATTTCCAGATCTGGTTTATCAGTTTCCCTATCTTAGTCAGCAGTTCCTCTCCTCCATATTTTAGTAGTTCAGCTTGAACTTCATCCTCACCAGGTGATTTGTGATTCTTAAGCCATTTTATCTGTAGCTTTATCTCTTCCAGCGTTGGTTCTGGGCAATCTTGTTTATTCCAAGATTCTAGGTCGAAACTGAAGACTTCGTCCGGCTCGTCACAATTTAATAACTCATCAAAGTACTTACCCCATCTTTTGGATATCTCTTCGCTCGAGGTTATTAGTGTCCCATCATCATTTTTTAAGAACCTCTCTTTCTTTTTATATTCTCCTGTAAGTCGACTTATCTGCTTGTACATGTCTCTGGTTTTATGCGATTTATAGTCGAGCTCTGCTTTATCCAATATTTCCCTGAGATATTTCCTTTTTTCACACCTCAATATGTTGCTCGTCTCTCTTAGGCGCATTTTGTACCTGTCGAAATGCGCAACATTATTTGTGTCATTTAACCAATTCATTCTTGCCACTTTCCTTCTTTCAATGGCTTCTTCGCAAACTCTGTTAAACCAAGGTTTGGTTTTTAAGTTTTTCTTTCCTAAAATCGTTGTCGCTGCATTATTAATGGCACTTCTTATTTGCTCCCAGTGCCTATCTACATCTGCCTCGGCTACTGTTTCCCTTTCTTGAAGAATTTCCTTAACTTTGTTATTAAATTGATCGTTTATTGATTGGTCCTCCAGTTTGTCAATATCAAACCGCCCTGTATTTAACACACGTTGTTTATTAAGTTTTTTCAGTTTTACTCTCATCCATATGCCGACAAGTAGATGATCCGAATCCAGGTCAGCTCCCCGTAATGTCCTTAAATTCCGGACACCATTCTTGAATCTGCTAGTTATTAGTACATGGTCTATCTGGTTCTTATATTTACCATCTGGGGAGATCCAAGTATACTTGTATATATCTTTCCTTGGGAACATGGTGCTTTTGATCACCAGCCCTTTTCCTACAGCAAAGTCGATAAGTTTTGAACCATTGTCATTTGAAGTTGCATGCAAGCTATGAATTCCGATGGTGTTTCTATATACAGGTTCCCTACCTATTTTCGCGTTAAAGTCTCCCAAAATCAGCCTGACCTGACCCACCGAAGTATTAAATACATCTTCTAGTGCTGCATAGAAGAGCTCTTTTTCCATTTCATCTTTATCTTCGGTAGGAGCATGTACGTTAATCAAAACCAAATCAAAGTTTTCTGTTGTCAGCGTTAACGTAGATAATCTTGGGCTAATGTCTCTAAAGTCTTTTACTGTGTGAATGATTGATTCATGTATCGCAAATCTCGTTCCCAGTCTGTGAGCCTGTTCGCATTTTCCATTAAAAATAGTTGTTTCAGACACATTTGTCGTGCCGGCATCTTGCCATCTAACCTCCTGAAGTGCCACACACTTCATTTTGTATTTTTCAACTTCTCTTGCTAAATTTACAGTTGTTCCCTCTTTGTACAAGGTTCTTACGTTCCAAGTACCACATAAAAGTTCCGATTTCCAGTTTCCAGTCTTTTTTCCGTTAACTCTAGTCCGAGGCTTGGTGTTTGAGTCCTGAACGTTAGCTTTTTTACAAGGCAGGGTCGTTAGCCCTGCGCTCAACCCCCAACCTGGAGGGCCAGTCTACTCCAACCAGTTAAGGTCAGAGTAGGGCTATTGCAGTACACTTACTAAGTACACTGGGCGATGGGCACGCCACTTTCCCTACGCCGACAAAAGCTTAGAAGCTTATAATTTTTTGCTAGTGGGTGGATTTATAACACTAAATGGTATGCTACAAATGATGTTCTAGTTGTTGCAGAGGTAAAGATTTTTTTTTTTTAATTGCTTTTGCTTTTTGATTTCTTATAATTATCAATTTATTTAAAAATTGTTTTAAATCTAAGAACTACCTAGTACTCAAATACAGTGCTTACAGCCATTTAAATATTTTTTAATCCATTTAAAAATAATCTAAATATTTCTGTAAATGCTTTAAAGCTTACTTATTACATACGTTTTGTATAAACTGTTAATTAGTTTTATTTAAATCAAATTGCTTTTAGCTAGGTTGCATGATTAAATATTTTTTTAGTGTATATATTACTTAGGTTGCACATTCACAGAGGCTTATTGATGCTAAATTGTTGCCATGGATTGTTTTAAAGTTTTCTGGAGAAGTTGTAGCAGCACATTGTACATGTATAGCTGGGCTTGGAGTGTTGCTAGCATATTGGTGCTGTGCTTTTTTATTTGCAATATGCTTTCTTAAAAAAAAATGATACAAAGAAGTCTGTAACTGATGTATCTGCGTACTGGACTGTTCCATCTAACACAAATGTTAGTTCACAAAAAATCAGTGAAATTGATTTTAATCAACCAAAAAAAATATTCACCGACCACCCCAAGTCACTTCAAACTAAAGCTGATTATATTAAAAACCTTCCAACAACTATTAATGATGCACAGCATTTAAATTCATTTTTAACTAAACTGGAGAAAATTAATAGCAATGCTGCAATTTTAAAGGTTATACCACTCTTTAATTTAAAATTGAAAACTGAATTATTTCCTAAAAGTTATGTGGGAATGTATAAAGATGAATATGCTTTACTAAGTAAGGAAGATCTTGTAATCCTAGGTTCTAAACTAGGCTTTTCTTTGACAAAAGATGAATGTGAGAATATTGAACTTATAACTAGACAACAGGCAGAGTGTAAAAAATGGTTTTATTATAGAAGCGGCCGTATAACTGCTTCAAAAGTTAAAGAAGTCTGTTCCACAAAAACATGCAGCTCAAGTATAAGTCTTCTTAGGACAATATGTTACCCATTAGAAAACACTTTTAAAAATCAAGCCATTGTATGGGGAACTACACATGAAAATGAAGCTAAAGCTTTTTATAGTGAAAAGTTAAAAAACGACCATATACATTTTTCTGTTGTAAATAGTGGACTAATTATAAATCCATGTTTTCCATTCATTGGCGCAAGTCCGGATGGTATAACAAATTGTGACTGTTGTGGAACTGGTGTCTTGGAAATAAAATGTCCATATAGTCTAACACAAAATAAAAAAATTTAAAATCTTGACTGTATATTAAATGGGAAACTTAACCCTGCATCAGTCGCGCGTTCTACTATTGTAGTACAGTGATAATCAATTTAATTTTAGATGGTTTTGGAATTACCCAATGACAATGATAAACTAAATACCTTTTAACAACATTATATGATTGAAAACTGTAATGATTTCAGAGTTTATCTTTCAGTGTAGTTCCGTATATTGAGCAATCAAGTTTTATGTTCTACTATTGTAGATTACGCGACGACTCAGGTACGTAACTTTTATACTACATCTCATATTTTAAACTCCCGTAATTTGTATTAAAATGAAATAGTTTAAACTTATATTAACGTTATACATTATAATTTATATTATATTATATTTATATAATATAATATATAATATAACCTACTTATATGTTATTGTTTTTGGTACCTATATAAATTATTTATAATATTTGTACCTATGTCATGATACTTTTTCTTTATTTATTTTGTAAAATAATTTTACTTTAGAAAATGGATAATGTTATGAGCAATGGCGTGAAGAAGAAGAAGAAGAGTTGATTGAAGGTGTTGGCGTAGATAGTGATAAAGAATTAGAAACTGATCATGTTGAAGAACAGTGCGAAGATTCGAATACAGACAAGAATCTACTGATGATGAGTATGAAGGTGAGTCCACTTCTGGTGATGATAATATTGGGTTAATTGTTCAAAACAAATATTATATCGGGAAAGATCAAACAAAGTGGAAAAAAAAGTTCCTCCACAAAATAGTAGAACACGTTCTCATAATATAATAACACATTTACCAGGGCCTAAATCAAATGCTAAAAATAAAAAATCACATATGAAATGTTTTTCTCTTTTCTTTGACGATTCAGTAATTTCAATGATAACAAAAAGTACAAACATCAAAATTCAAGTAATTCAGAATAAATATAGTCGTGAACGTGTTGCAAAGGAAACGGATGAAACAGAAATAAGAGCTGTTATTGGTATGCTTATACTAGCGGGCGTATCAAAATCAGGGCGGCAAAATATTTTAAAATTATTTGATGACACTAAGGGTACTGGTATTGAAGCAATTTATTTAGCAATGAGTAGCCAACGGTTTTGTTTTTTAATGCGAAATTTACGTTTTGATAATTTTACTGATCGAGAACAAAGGAGGGAGATAGACAAATTAGCTGCTATCAGAGAATTGTTTGAAATAATATTACACAATTTTCAAACCAATTTTATACCTAGTGAGTACTTAACTATAGATGAGCAGTTGATTTCTTTTCGTGGTCGCTGCTCATTCCGTCAATATATACCCAGTAAACCCGCGCGATATGGCATAAAAATATTCGCCCTCGTTGATGTCAAAAATGCGTATACATACAATTTAGAAGTGTATGTAGGCACACAACCTGATGGGCCTTACAAAATAAATAATAGTCCAAATAACGTTGTGACCAGACTTGTCCAACCGATTGAGGGCACTAAACGTAACATAACAATAGATAATTGGTTCACATCTCTCCCTTTAGTACTTCAACTATTAGAAGAAAAAAAATTAACTGTAGTTGGAACTATGAGACGTAATAAAACATGTATTCCAAAACAATTTGCAGACCCAAAAAATAGACCAATAAATTCATCATTATTTGGATTTCCCAAAGATTGCACATTGACATCATATGTACCTAAAAAAAATAAAGTAGTGATTGCTGTTTCTACACTTCATCACGATAATAATATTGATCCGACAACTGGAGATAAAAAAAAACCAGACATTATTACATTTTATAATCAAACAAAATGTGGTGTTGACCGCTTGGATCAAATGTGCAGTTTGTATGATGTCGCTAGAAACTCCCGACGTTGGCCTTTAACAATATTTTTTAATTTATTAAATATTTCTTGTATTAATGCTTTGAATGTATACTCCGCTAATAAGAATTATGCTAAAGTAAACAGAGCAGACTTTTTGGAAACACTTGCACTTTGTCTAATTAGACCAAATACAGAGAGACGAATACTCAATAAAAATTTACCAAAATCCATAAGATTTCGAGGGAGAAAATTATTAGGATTGGAAAAGGAAACAGAAACAGAAAAAAATGTAAAAACAAAACGCCCAGGTGGAGTTGGTAAATGTCATCTATGTGGACGAGCACGTAACAAAAGCACACGTAATTCATGCGAAACTTGCTATAAATGGGCATGCAACGATCACCTCAAATATATATGCGATTGTTGTTTCAACAAAAAACATCAATACAGTACATCTTCAGATGAAATGGATACTAATTAAAACTTAAAATTAAAAGACTAACAAAATAATTATAAGCATTCATGCATAATATTTTAACTCCTTTAAATTGTAATAGGACTTTCGACATATGTATATTAAATTAATTAATATTGTACAACAATTTGATTAAAAATATACATTTAATATGATTATTGAATAATTTGGTCAAATCATTTATTTATTTTGTAATAACAAATTATTAATGACAACAATTGAGATTGTTCTACAAATGTAGACGCTCGACTACTTGTGTGATATTAAACAACGCGACTGATGCAGGGTTAAGAAAACACATCAATACCATTATCAGATACAAACACAAATGTTTTTAGGTGGTTTTATGTATGGAGATTTCATTATATGGTCACCTAATAATTATTATATAGAACGTGTTAATATTGATTATGAATTAATATGCAATGAAATTACAAGCAAATCAAAATGGTATTTTTATGAAATTATTCTGCCTGAATTGCTTGGTCGGTTTTATACTAATAATCAATCCATTGAAAAAAGTAAACTAAAAGAAAGTGTGGTAAGTAAAAGTGGTCCATATCAATACTGTACATGCATAAATGATACAGGAGGGAAAATGATTATGTGTACTAAAGAAGGATGCGCAAACTTGTGGTATCATTATACTTGCATTGGAATCAAAAGCAAGCCTACAACTAAAAAATGGAAATGTACAAACTGTAAATAATAAATAAAATAGAAATATTAAAATTGTATTATATTATTAATCACTTTATTGTTCAATTCGTTATTTAATATTCAGTATATCGTGTTCAAAACTTAAAAATGTTTGCCATCCAGATTTCCTACTTTTCCAGTGGGTTTTTCTACAATTTTCTTTCATAAGAACTTTTTCTTGATAATAACAAACACAACAAAAAAAGAATTAGTAAAATCAGTTTTATAATTTATATATTATAGATAAACATTTTTTATTTTTTTAATCTAATGGTACAATAGAACTGCACATATTAATGAGAGCACAACAAACTGTAACTATTGAATCTAACAAACATGAGTTGTCATCTTGGTGTTTGAGAGTTGTAATTTGCACAGGGCCATTAAGAATTTTATACTTAGGTCTAGTAAGTCCTATTATACGCTCTACATGTATTCTAACAGATGCTATTTTCCTTGTTTCTTCAATAGAACATGGGTGTAATTGAGGAAGACCCCTTGTAAAGGCAGGTGTTTTCAAAGTAGCAAAATGAAAACCTATACTCTCACTTACAGTGAATCCCCTATCTGCAAGTACTACATCCCCTGGCAATACATTTTTAAAAACATACAGTTTTCAGTTATGTGTTTGTTACTAACCCTACCACCCCATCCTTCAGATATAAATGATACTACCCCAGCTTGGGGTGTAATAACTATCAAATACTTAACAGTATTTTTGTTTTTGTAAGAAGACCAAGTTTGTGCTTTAGCTCTTAAATTACTAGGTTTTTCAATTCCGATTTCAAAGTAATCAATGATAACCGCAACTGAGTTACCAAAAGCATTAAAAAATGAACGTGGCATTAGATAACGTAATGCTTCTCTGTCTGACCAGTAAATTAGTTTTTTAAATGTATGCTCCAAAAGAAATATAACCTTACGAAAAAATAATTGAAGCAGTACCACAAGTGATATTAAATTTATAGCCTAAATCAACAAATGACATGTTTAACCTTAATTTCATAAGACATAACAATAGTTTTTGAAATTCAGTTAATCTTTGGTTACTAAAAGTTAGTGCAGGTTTAATTTCCTCTAAAATTAATAAAAAAAGATCCATACTCTCTAGGCCAGTATAAAATGCTAACATTTTAGGACGACCATTAAATGTCTCTTCACTTAAATTTAAATAATTTACTTCTGAAGTAAGTTTGTTGATTACAAAATCTTTCCTAACTACTTCTTGTTCTAGTGTTTGAATATTAGCCATGGTCATAGTTGTTGAAGTTGACGTCCCTGTTACCATGCTTATATCTATATTTTCTACATCACTTAAATTAGGAACAGTGACAACAGTATTATCTTCCAAGTCATTTGGAAACAAAATGGTTGGTGTCAGTGCCATTTGTTTAGTAGCCCTATGGTATCGCTTGATATCTGGTGTAGTCGCAGGCACCTATATAAGTTTTAAATAAAATCAAACGTTCATTAGATAAAGCTTTACAACCTAAAAATAATAAATAATAATTTTTTGTTATTGAACTATAAATTGTAAACTATCAAAATATCAAATTGCATGATTATATTTCTATTAAGGGGCCTGGTCGCGACCTGTTTTTTTGCTCAAAAACATGCCTTACAGGAAAAACTCTCACGCCTTGTAGATTGGTCCGATTTCCGTAATTTTTTTTTTGTCAAATAGAGAAAGACGTATTGCAGGGCGCATTGGACTTGGATTTTAAAAATTATTTTTCGAAATCTTATATTAAAAGTTTGAATTTAATCCATTTTTACAACTTTTTAGTTTTTGTATTATTATTTATTTTTAGCAACGTAATCAAAAATCAAAGTCCAATGCGCCCTGTAAAAAATATTCTTCTATCTAACAAAAAAAAATTACGGAAATCGGACCAATCTACGAGGTGTGAGAGTTTTTCCTGTAAACTGTGTTTTGACCGATATAATACACCCTATCAACCCCCCCCCTAAATAGGTATTGGGTAGTAGATTAGTGGAAAAGTCTTATAATTGAGGTGGCAACTAAAATATAAAATTTAATTTTCAAATTTTATAGAATTGCAGAAAATTTTAAAAATCGCGAAAAGGCCCCTTAAAAATATAAAACTAATACTTCTTATTATAAAACATAAAATGATTAATTACCCTTATTAGTATTGTAGCCCATGTTTATTGATGGACACCAGTCAGGATGTTTGTTATTTGTATAGCAAGCTGGATTACCTAAATAACAAGTATTACAAAAATACATTTAACTGATAAATTATACAAACCTTTACCATTTTGAAAATGAGAAGAACATATACGCAAAGCATCAACCTGCTTATTCTCCAAATCAAGTCTGTGAAGGGATTTCAGCCACATATTTCGTTGGTCCTCTAGTAGTTTTTGAAGATCTGTTGCTGCACTTTTTTTTGGGGGGAAAACGGTAAAAGGATACATTTTTATTGGTTGTTTTATTCGTACAACCATAAACTGCACAAACAGTAGGCATATTCAAAACTTTAAACAACAACGTAAAAATTAAAAACTACACTCGTCCGTACCATACAATAATACAAATCAAAATGTTTGTACCATCAATAAGTGATAACGTAATTATGATAACAGATTGGCAGCCATACTATAATGATCAATATCAAATTTAACTTTTAAAAACCCTATATTGAAACACACTTGGTGGACGACGAACAGCTGCACCGGGAACACGATTAAAGATATACTGGTTACCCAACGGCCTATGCTTTGCACAGGCAGAAAACGGCTACGAAACCGCGATATGTTATGGACTGTCTACTAGCGCCATCTAGGTGATTAACTTAGGAACTACTTGTTATTGTAAAATCACGAAATATTCAAAAGGACAAAAAGATTTTAATTAGTAATAATTAATTATTAATTAGGTAATATGGCTAATACCACAGAAAAAACCTGTAAAACCTATTAAGGGGATTCCACCCGGCTGTGATTTCTACCTAAATATACCTATATTTTGCCAACTGTACTGATTGTTCTAATTATCGGAAACAAATTCCGAAAACGTATTTGAATTCGTCATGAAGTTTACTTGAAAACGACTTTTCAACTTTTTTGAAATTGATCGCTTAAACCCATCAAATTTTAATCCAAGATTTTGAATTTTTAGAATTTTAAAATAATAGTAATATTAAACTAAAAAAATCAATTTAAAAATGTAAGAAAGTCGTTTTCAAGTAAACTTCATGACGAATTCAAATATGTTTTCAGAATTTGTTTCCGATCACTAGAAAAATCTGTACAATTGGCAAAAGATTGATACTTTTAGAAAAAAAAAAATAGTATATATTGTTCGTCAAGCACGCGACGGTGCGTTTTTGACATGTGACTGCGCGTGCGAAAGTGTCCATTTCCATGAACCTGTACGCCACGTCGCCACCGCCCGCCCGAGTAAACCAAATATAATAATAGTTCCAGCACGATGACGTCACGCCTGCGATAAATATGAAAATATCCATAAACTTATAAATAACATATTATAATATTATGCAATTGATATTATTGGAGTATCCCTATTTCCTGCACACTGCACATAATATTATTTATTAATTATTAGCGTCTAGCACTCTAGCGGCTACGTATAATATCTGCTACGGTAATTATTGATAGTTGCATACTCTATTGGCTTCTAAATTATAATAAATTGTAATTCGTAAACGTTTTACGTTATTCTTCTTATGATGGAAAATGTTTTACAAATTAAAAAACGACGAAGGAAATATTTATCCAAAAAACACAAGGGAAATGTAGATAAACTAAAAAAATGGAGAGAAAATCTTAAAACTGACAGTGACACGGTAAGTCAAAATAATTTACACCATATATAGGTATACAATTTTATTATGTGCATGTGATTTTAATTTTGTACGTATTATTATAATATAGGGAGAAATAAATAATCTGTCGGCATCGGAGAACCATCCTAATACTATCGAAGATACTATTATAACAGAACCGGATAATGCACAAATGTACGTCAGTCTCTAATACATTATAATTTTTGTTTTCTAGACATTATATGATTTATAGTATTTAAAATATATCACCTGTATAGGCAGACCTCCTGTACAATATTGAGGGGGCTCAAATAGAATAAATATAATAAATTAATAGGTACCTACTGAATAATAATAAAAAAAATCATCTATACAACATTTAGTAATCTGTAAAAAACTACGATATTGCTAATATACTGCTTATATATAGTATGATCGAGGTCCACTCGACACCTACTATACAGCATAAAGACTTTCTAGGTTTTTTTTATAACT